GACCTTTTACCAAATAAAAAATATTTAAACGGGATAAAAAGGCAAAAGATGAAAGTTTATGACTTTATTCCGTCTTTTGGTTCAGATTGTAAAATAAAAATAAATAAATAAATAAACTTATGCGAATAAAGATCAATAGTATGTCTTGTGATGTTTTTTCAGTATTAAAACTTATTTTAAGGTGTTAAGCACCATGAGAAATGTTTTGTAAAAGTGTTCTTCAGAAAAACAATTGCGATATCTGTTAGAAATCATCGGGCCAGAAGAAACCAATGTATTGATAATGAACTTGGACATCTTTCCTTAAAAATATCTCAATCCTTCTACTTGTCTGGGCAATGGGCATCACGAAATCTATCTCAAGGGTTGAAATAAAAGCTTAGGCAAGATGCTCGAAATCCCTAACTTACATTCGTTTTAGAGTCTGTTAAATTTAAATATTCCGGACAAAAAAAAAAAAAGCCTGAAGATGCTGATATAAATCTGTATTTATAGCAGGAGCTACACAACGAACGGATAAGCATCACAAATGACAATTAAAAACTGTTTATACATATCTTCCAAATCAAATCTATTTTCAGTAGCAATCAGTACATACATTTTAGTTGAGCTACTTTCAAGAGGTTCATGTCATTATGTGTGGTGTGTTTTACTACAGGATCTCAAGAGGTTCATTTGTTAGCAGAAAACAAGGAAGAAAACAAGGAGCTAATATGCTCAAATCAAGAACAACAAGAAGAAGAAGAAGAAGACTGGGAGGCTCGGCGTGCTCAGATCAAGCTGACAAAAGGGTTCGTAGCCAAGGAGTCTGTAAAAGGACATATGGCGAGTTCCTTTTTTACAGTTTCAATTTATAATCTTAAAAACACAGTTCATAATAATTAATCCATCATAAAATCTTAACAATGTGCATTTGGAATTTGAGCTACAGGTGAATGTTGTAAGAGGTTTGAAGTTGTATGAAGACATACTTAACGACACTGAGCTCTCCAAGTTAAATGACTATGTGAACCAACTACGAGTTGCTGGCCAAAACGGACAACTCTCAGGTCAGACGTTTATCAAGTACAACCAGCAGTCAAAGGCAATCAAGAGAGAGCTCATTCAGTTTGGTGCTCCTATTTTCGGTCAAATAAAAGATGACGCCACAACCAAATCCCAAAATAGTAAGCTCCTGATCTTCAATTAATTTCTTTAAATGCTACAGTCAACATCAACATGCTATGACAATTAATTATTAACATTGCATGTCTTTTATATATATAGGCCACATGGAGCCAATTCCCGCCCCTCTTGAAAACATCATCGACAATCTGATTCAATGTCATCTGATTTCTGAAAACAGACGACCAAACAGTTGCATCGTTAGCTTTTTCGATGAGGTATAATTAAATCTAAACATGTATATGTTAATTTACAATAATAACAATACATACTGTCAAGAATAATACATAATTAAGCTTACTTTTTTCTTTTTCATACAGGGTGAATTTTCACAGCCTTTCTTGAAACCACCTCATCTAGAACAACCTATTTCCACTCTTCTTCTTTCCGAATCAACAATGGGCTTCGGGCGTACTCTAGTCTGCGACAACGATGGAAACTACAAAGGATCACTCATGCTTTCCCTAAAGCAAGGGTAAGCAGATACCATAATTTCAAATTCCATAATATAGATAATAATGTTTCTTTTTTTGTACATACAGATCCCTGTTAGTGATGAGGGGCAACAGCGCTGACATGGCTCGCCACGTCATGTGTCAATCTCCAACTAAGCGAATCAGTGTCACCTTCTTTAAAGTACGAATAACAGACACCTGTGAGAACACGTCATCAGCAATCACAGTGTGGCAACCAAGTGTTCCAAATCATGTACCGGCTGGAACACTTGAAGGCTGTGATCATAGGACAGGTGTCGTTTCTAAATGGGGCGTAGGCGTCCTTCGTGCTCCACAACTGCTTATGTTAGCACCAGTCCGTCCAATGGTGATGACCCCGAGAAGGTTACCCCGTGGCGGGACCGGAGTTTTCTTACCGTGGACTGTCGGGTCAAGAAAACCCGCAAAACATCTACCTCCTCGTGCCCAACGAGGTCGTCTTCTTGTAGCTGAAACACATAGAGCGGACTCCACCTCCGATTTAGGCATCAGTGTTGCTTAATTAAAATTCAAAACCATGTTTTTAATCAGCAGCACTTTATTTCACGTTAGAGTTGGCATTAATTCGTTATTAATTAAATAGACTTTTATTAGTTTATAGGCAGTTTAGTTTTTTTCTTGAAGAAAAAAAAAAGTGTGAATCTATAATCTATAATCTATAATCTATAATATTCTATATTAGCCTTCAAAACATTCTTCACTACTTTCTACAAAATATTAGACTAAACTCTTTAACTTAACTAACATGATTAAGGTCATGAAATTTTAACATGTTGGCTCACACTTCGACTTGCACATACATTCCATTCCAACATATGCAAGATTCTTTTCTGATAAGTTGATGATCAGAAGATTAACATGGACGACACCACACTGGATTCCATCCTTGGCACTTGGCAGGCAGTTAACCAAACCCATTCACTCGGTTTCGGTTCTTGGTTTTTTATGAATCAAACAAAACAATGACTCATTAGTTATGGTGATTATTCTTCGAGGATATGATTTTTGGAGCGATAAAGATCATAGGGGGCCCACAAGTGATCAACAGTGCAAGGTTTCCTGGAGTCTAATCTCAACCATGGTTTACCTTTCCCACTCCAATGAAGCAAACTAATTGGACCAGGGTGCAAACTCCTACATTTTCCTTCAATGTTATCACCACCCAACCCATGCTGGTTCCATCTATGGTCAATCCCTTTAATATTCCCAGCCAAAACAAGCAAAAAAGGTGGCAACGAACCTAAATGATATATCCTTTTCTGCTTTTGAACCACCATCCATTTTTCCACTTTATATGAATACCTTCCTTTTCTCCATTTCATCACATCAACAACCATCACCCCCGTGTTAAAATAACACGCTTTTCGACCCTTAAACGTTTTCACCAACTCCGGATCCCTCCAGAAGTTATTCGTGAAATATCTCGTGAAATTCGCTTGGCAATATTCCGGTGCAGCAAGCACCTTCTCCTCCAACTCAACTCTCCATAACTTCTCCACGTCATCAACCATTATAATATCCGAATCCAAATAAATCACACGCTTCACATTCATCGGCAATATATCCCCTAAATAAACTCTCGCGTAGTTCAATGGTTGATCAAGCGCTTGTCGTATCGACTTCGATATCTTCCCCTTTACACGATTCGAATCGAATTTATAAACTTTAAACCTCAGATACGGGAACGTCGTTTTGATGTTTTTATATATTTCTTCGTCGTAATGCGACCATAAGAAATGAAAATAAACATTTTCGGGACAAAACGAGTGCTGCAAGATGGACAAAACAGCCGCCATGGTCCCACGGAGGTAGTTGTAGTCGAGAGTCATGGCGATGTGTACACGGGTGTTTGTACAGGTGTCGCCGTTGCGGAAGGCGGGGGCTTCCCGGAAAACGGGGAGAGTTTTTGAGCGTTTTCTGGTGAGGCTGAGGCGGATGTTGGTGGTGGCAGCAGTGGTTGTTAGGAGGATTAAGGTGATGATTAAGAATAGAGACAGGAGGCCGATGAGGGGAGAGAGAGAAAAGATTCTCCGAATGGCCATCCTGTCTTTGGTATTACATTACAGGATGGTGTCTCAAACCGAGGATGGTGTACGAAATTATTTGGGGAAATGATTTGATTTGAAGCAGCCATTTGAGGCTGGTAAAGAGAAAGTTTAGGGTTTTTTATCCAATTTTATTGATAAAAATGGAGGTGATATATTCATTTGTGAGGAAGACAAGATTATTCGGAAAAATATATATAAGTGGTGACTTTTTAGCCAACTTGCAATCTGTATAAATACAATTTCCCAAGTTAAGAAAGTCAACGGTTGTCAATGGAGCCATATATTGAAGTTGCAAAAATTAAACTAATGAAGATTTTTAAGGGTTTTAGTGAAATTCAAAATTCAAAATCATGCCTAAAATACTCAAATTCTTAACTCAAACAATTCAATTTATCGCATACGGTAATAAGATAATGCAAGATCAAGCAAAGAGTTTACATAAGCAGCTCATAATACAAGATAAGGGATGAATCCATGATTAGAAAATGGTAATGGGTAAGAATATGTTGCGAAAAGTAATTTTCACATTTTAAGTTCGATGTCGGTTGATGGAGTGATTGATAGTGCTACGATTTCATAGCTTTGTAGGTGTTTCCATCATTCTGGTGTTCGTTCCTTCAATTGGTTGATGAAATTCTTGGCCAAATTGGTTGAAATGCATGAATTTAGATCAATTTTTCGAGTGTATATATATATATATATATATATATATATATATATATATGGGAAAAGGGAATATACATAACAATTCTACCTAAGCTTAGGTACTAAACCTCTTGAAAATACATTGTTTTCCTATATAAAGATTACGGTTAATGGATTCATGGTTAATACTTCAAGATGTAAATCCAAGATCGATACAATAGGATTTAGGGTTTAGGATTTAGGTTTAGGGTTTAGGGTTTAGGGTTTAGATTTAGGGTTTAGGGTTTATGTTTAGGGTTTAAGGTTTAGGGTTTAGGGTTTAGATTTAGGGATTAGGGTTTAGGTTTAGGGTCTAGGATTTAGGATTTAGGGTCTAGGTTTAGGTTTAGTAATGTTCACTTGGGTGAAGTAATAAACGATAATTGAGGAAAGTTCCTTCAAGAATGCTAATCATATAAGAAAGGTGATTTGGGTATTTCCTTTGGCATCTCAAAATAAAACACGTTCCAAAAGTATAATATCATCATAAGATGTTATAAAAGGGAAAGGTTAAAGTAGAATGCTATTTTACAAAAAAAAAAAAAAAAAAAAAAAAAAAAAAAAAAAGTACTTTGATAGATCTAGTTTCTTCCAAAAGCTTAGCATCAGAAATTTCAGACTAAGAGACTGTTTGGTAGGATTTGAATTTATAAGATCTGAATTTTTAAGAGGACTGAATTTCTAAGAGTACCTGAATTTCAATACAGGAAACATTCGCTCTATCCACTTGCAATCTAATGTATAATAAGCTATTATCATGCCTTTTACACATGAGCAGAAATAATATCAATTTCAATTTAGGAAACACTCACTCTACCCACTTGCAATCTAATTTAAAATTTCACATTCAATAGAATCATAACTTTTTAAACCAACCACAATCTATACACACTCACACACATGTACACACAGAAAACCATGACACACACATCACACAATCACTTTTCAAAGCACACTACCCTAAGAAGAAGAAAAAAATTGAAATGAAAATATTGTAACAGAGAAAAATGAAATTAAAATGCTTTTATATGCATATGAATACAAAATTGTGTTGCCTGAGTTCTATTCAGTCTCGTCACAATAAAAACAAACCACATTTCTAAACGCTTTACAAACCTAAAGGCAAATAAGATACAGAGATGAAATATGGGTACATAAAAAAATGAAAATAAAATTCATATTTTTAATTTAACGTATCATCCGATTCCTTTTACTCTAGAACTCCTTTTTCACATTTGGAAAGTAGCATCCTCTACAATAAATAAGATAATGATTATTGAGAAATAATAGAAAAAGTAAGGGTGTGTTTGGTTGTAGAAAATTTTCCAGTTTTCTAGGAAAGTTTTCCAAGAAAAACGGAAATTTTGAAAACGCTTTTGGTTCGTTCAGTTTTCCAAAATTTTCCAAGAAAATGAAAATTTTTAGTTTTCCAATTTGTATGTAAATTAGAAAAGTGATTTTTACAGTTTTCCAAATTTCTAAGATGGAAAATGAAAACTCCTCCGGTTTCAACCAAATATGTTTTCTAAAATTTTCATTGAAAATTGGATATGAAAACTCAACTCTATTTTCTGAAAACATTTTCTTAGAAAATGAAAACAATTTCCACAACCAAACGCACCCTAATATTTTAATAAAAAAAATTTTATATATACAAAGAACGATTTCTTGATCCGTGTTGATATTTTCCAGTAATGCAAGTCATGTTTCAAAGGTTGGCACTCACAGCTTCCCATTCAAATGACAAGCCACGCCTTCATCTAATATCACTAATAGTATAATTTGTTATGCTTAAGTTAAATGTACGATGATGGAAACAGTTAAAAAAAAATTAATGTTAAAAACAAATCCGCATTTTCTGATGAACAACATTATATCACAAAAGTACCTTATTATGTGATGATAGGAGAAAGGATTGCTCTGCTTCTGACTTCCAATTTTGATATTGTTTCATGTTTGCAAATACCGAATTTCATCATTACCCATCATGAAGTTGTATAAAATAGAGCATCAAATAAACTTAATTAATGCTAAATTTTAGATCGGTTGTTTATAGGCTTGATTTATAATTTAGTTAATATGACATTCTAGTGTTGCATAATTGATAGATATAAGAAAAACATGTTTATGTTGTTTTAGCTTATAAACATGTATCAACCTTCACCATATGGACAATGGAGGCCATTCAAGAAACATGTTGAAAAAATATGAATATGAAGAAAAATGATTATTGACAAAACTAACATTTATGCCAAAAGTACTTAAGTAAACTCTGGTACAATAAAAGGATTAGGAGTAAGAGATACTAACAATTATGCCAAAAGTACTTAAGTAAACTCTGGTACAATAAAAGGATTAGGAGTAAGAGATGGTTGTGCATCTTCAACAATAATACTTACAACTTTTATTAAAGAACCAATCATTTACGGTTTCTTGTCAAAAACCTTATCCTTTCTTTCAGTAGCAATAATCAATATCTTCACTTCTAATGGTTATTTACAATCTCAGATCAATATTCAACTGAAATCTCATCTAGGCATTTTGTTTCAAACAGTTTACATGCATTTCATCAAGAAAAAAGTATCCAACGAAGTGTATCCACTAAACAATAACAATCATTTTCAGTTAATATAAATTAGAAGTGTAACATCCCGGAATAGCAAGAGTAGAGTTGAAGGGCTAAAAGTGTAAGTTTTGGAGGGCAACTCGGTGAGTCCATGGATGGACTCGGCGAGTAGGGTCGCAACTTTGGTCGTGTGTCAAGTGGCCTACTCGGCGAGTAGGTGCTGGGTGGAGAAAACCCTAATTCTCGGGGTTGAGCTCTATATAAAGAACATTATGTTTCCTTCCCAGCCTCTTTGATCCCCCTTGAGCCCCAGAAACCCTAATTTCGTGGAGGAACACCATTGTTGGGCAAATTGGAGCTTGGAGAAGTGCTAGTTGAAGAAATCTTGAAGGAGAAAAGTCTTGGATCAAAGGGTTTTGCTTGGATTCGAGTTTCATTGCGGTTGGGACATTCTTTGAAGGTAATATCTCGTTCTTGAGCTACTATTGTCTAGATTCTTCATTTTTGGGGGGTGTTGAGATCACATCTTTTGGTGTTTTGGAGTCTTGAGGTTAGATCTGAGGTTGCTAACTCAGATCTGGAATGGAGGAGGGTTGGAATGCCTGAAAGTCCTTGTGATTGAGTATATAGAGAAGCTATCTTGTCCCAAACCTTAGCCCTAATTTGTATAATGCCTAGATCTTCATGGATTCACGTAAAGTTTGCCACTTTACGTGATGGATGGGTTATACGAGGCTAGATCTATGTTTTGGATCAATTGCATGGCCTGGAATGCTTCTGTATGGATTCAGACCGGTGGTACTCGGCGAGTCACAAGGGTGGACTCGACGAGTTGCTTGAAGATGAGCTGGAACTCGGCGAGTTGGATGAACAACTCGGCGATTAGGTTGAAGATAGCCTTGGACTCGGCAAGTCTGTTCTTGGACTCGGCGAGTCTTGTCGAAGAGTCCCAATAATTTATGGCCGAGTCGAGAATCGGTGAGTCAAGGGATGACTCGGTAAGTTGGGTGCGAGTAGACTCAGAGTGGTTGGACTCGGCGAGTCTCGGGGTGACTCGGCGAGTCAGGTCGCGGATTGAGGGAAGTTCTGAACTTGGGGACTCGGTGAGTCATGGGGTTGACTCGGCGAGTAGAGTCAGTCAGGGGTTGACTTTGACCTTGTCCAAGGGTTGACCAGTTGTCTTCCAGGGGTATTTTGGTAAATAAGGGTATATATTGAGTTGAGTGTTTTGGTGTTCAGTGGAGGAGTTCGTGTTTGAGTTCGGAGTAGCGGGATCTTATCCTTTCAGCCGGCAATTTCGAGGTGAGTTATCCTCACTATATCAACAGGGTCTAAGGCACCAAGGCCATCCCTTTATTGGATGGAGATTCGGATATGGTTATTATGTTATTGTTTGATATGTCTGCATCCTGGTAGCTAGGATGGTATATACTGGAGACCTAGTTAAGGTCCGTTTCCCAATATGTAGAGTGATGCTATGCTAGTGACCGGGTAGGTCGGTAACCTGGATAGGGTAATGAAATGCTATGTGATCTGCTTGCTCGGTTTGTTGAATATGACTGTTATATGATTGTATGTTATGTGCACATGGTTGTTTGGACTGGACATGGGTTGAGGCGGGTCCTGCTTTGTGTTGTAGGCCAAGATACCCAAGGCGGACCGGTTATTCCGAAGGCCCAGCGAGCGGTCTGGATAGGTTGTAGGCCCTACGAGGGCGGACCAGACGTGCCGAGGCTTGGAGAGT